GCTTCGGGCCGCGGCTGGGTCCGCCGATTGATGCCCGCTTGCGCGGGGCGGCCCCGGGGCCGGCTCCCGGCACGGCCGCGGCCAGGGGCGGTGTTTAAGTGACTGCGTTTCAGCAAGCCGAGATGACTCAACGTCACAGAAACCAGGGGCTGCAGAGGAAGGATGCAGCATCAGCAAGAAGCCTGCCCCGGCTTGTAACAGCAAAAAGATGTTCTGCTGCCCGAATGAGCCCAAAGGGCAAATCGGGGAGCGGAGAAAGCTCGCGGCCGGGCGCAGCAGGGCACCGCCGCCGGGTGCCTTCATGGGAGAGACCCGCACCGAAGGCGAAGCTCTAGTGAATGAATGCCTCCACAAGCTAAATAAATCTGTTGGGAAACAGGTTTGCAGATCTGTCTTTTTGTGGACAAGTAGATTTTTTTTTTTATCCGCCATCTGCGTGCCATATTTGTATCGGAGTCAAGAATGCAGTATCTGCTAACGGCACCTCTTCCAATATCAGGGAGCGCTTTTGATCAAAAAGGTTATAAGCCGAATATGCAGCCGAATAGCGCACGTGGCCAGTGCCCTGCCGTCCCTAGGGGGTACGGGGCACCGCGTTCCCATCTGAAAGTGGGCTTGGTTTTCAGCTCGAAAGAGGATGTTACATAATTTAACAGCACCTTCAGCAAATCTCATTTTCCAGGGGATTTAAACCAAAAAGAATCAGTACCCACATCCTTTTCTGCAAGTGCTCTTGGCCTGAAGTCACACGTACTGTTTTTGGTATGTCCCAGCTTTCTCTGCCTTTGATTTCAGCTTCTTCTTAGTGAAAAGCTGCATTTTTAAAGCTCTGGACATCTTTTGGTGGTTACAGATTTTAAAAGGTTCAAAACGTTTTCTAAACCTGGGCTTTTAATTGCTTCCGCTTTGTTTGCATTTAAAACTAGTCTCTTTGGCGTGATGGCCTGACGCACGCCAACAGGAACCTGCTCTGGCTGCAAGTAAGCACAGTTTCCAGAGTACCCCCTTACTTTCTTTTTAGTTAAGCATGTAATAAGGAAAGATAAAGTTCAATTCCACAAGCACTATCTATACATATTATATATATGTATAAACAAATAAAAGAGAGAGATTCTCCTTTCTCTTGCAGCCAGGGCGCAGTCCATCCCCTGCTCCGCCACGGCGCGTGCGCTTCCCCTCGCACTCCTGAGCTGGCAGCAGCATCCCTGTCCTTGACTCGTTGAGACTCTTAAGTTTAGCACTTTAGCAAAACAAATACAATTCTGCAAACCGTAATTAGAAGAATATGTCATTTTGCAGACTTTTTCCTCCAGGCCAGACCACTGGGAAAAACATGTGTTTCATTAGACGCAGCAGCTCGCGCAGGTGGTCAGCTCAGGGTGAGCCAGCCCACTGGCAACCTTCTCCGTTTATCACGTGCAGGCAGGAGGAAGCGTCAAATGATGTCGTGAAACCTCTGGACGTTGCACTCCCGGTGCTCTGAAAAGAGAGGTAGGACTTGTGCAACCCTCCAAGGTACTTTTTTCCAGCATCATCAGATTTCTCAGCAGTGTTACAAACACTGCAGAGAAACCGTAGGAAACCAGTGCATCTGGGTGGAAGCTGAGTCTCAGCCCACCTGGGTGGAGGTTCCTCGTGCTCTCCCCACACACAGGCTGTTTGCACACCCTGGCCCGGCTCTCTGAAAAGCCAGCATGCTGATGGGCTTATGTTCCTCTGCTCACGTCCCCAAAACGTGCCTCACGATGGTCGCCAGTTGCCACCAGTCACCCAGCCCTGACCCACTTCACCGTAGCATAAATCCGCTGCTGATGCCCAAGAGCCCCAGGTCCAGCATTATTCTAGATTCTCCAGTCCAGAAATCCTGTTATAACCATCACTAAAAGACCTCTCAAGTGTAAAAAAAAAAATCACTGCATCGACATTTTTTCCACCCATACTCTATCATGTTCAAAAAAAAAAAAAAACCCTATTGCATGTATTCCAGTCTCTATTACTCTTAAGAATGAAGTATGGTTAATACATTCACGAAAGCAAAGCCATTCCTTTCGCTTGGTATCATAGCCCACGTAGCACTCCCTAGTCACACCTGAAAACCATTCAGGGGAACTCCAAATTATCATGCTGCTGCTGCTGCACTAGCCTAGCTCTGTTATTAAAATCAAACCAGAGCAGGTACATGGGTTTCTCCTCGGCAGCCTCTCCCAGGCCCCCGCTTCGTCTGGGCGCTTTTGGAGGAGAGGAGGCTTTTACAGCCCTTCTCGCTGCATGCCCTGAAGGGAAGCTGCAGGCGCTGGAAGCATTCAGCGCAGCGCAGGCTGCGCCCTGCAACTCCTGCGGCGCCGGGAGGACCGAGCCGACTGAGGCTGGGGGTTCACCGGCATTTAGACTCACATCCTTGTGCCGGGACCCTCTCTAACAAGCTCATCATGATACATCAGCTCCTCAGGAGCCTCCTAGGAGGTGACAACCCCATGGACCATCAGCACTGCCAGCCCCAGAGTAGTGGGGGAGTCACCAGATTCCCCCCTACTTCCTGCCCCAAATTTTTCACTTTTGTCATTTAAACTCCTGCTGCTCTCCTCTTCCCACAGAGGTGGAAATTCAACAGGTTCATGCACCCAATAATCCTATTAAATCTCCCAAATACATGCACAGAACAATGTGCAATACGTAGAAGATGAGCTCTGGCCCCCTTGCCGTCCGCACACAGCTCTCCCAAGCTGCCTCCTCGTCCGCCTCGCTCACAGGAGGGGAAACCAGCCACCGGGCAGAGCCACCAGCTGCACCGGACCCCCCCCAGAGCAGGGCCAGGGCACCAGCCTGCCCCACCAGGGCACAGCAGCCTGGAAAAGCCACTCGGCCTTTGAAACAGAGGCTGCTCGTTAGCACTTCCAGCCTAACAAGCCCATTTATCTTTTAACTCCCCCCTCCCCAACGAGGGACACCAGTGCCTTGTGGCCCCGGTGTTCCCAGTGGCCAGGAGCAGCTCTGGACCTGCTGGATAATCGCCCAGGCTGGTGCGAGCAGTCTGGTGTGGGCGTCTGCTGAACTCGCAGACAGGCTCTTTCCCACCGGTAGTGACCAAGGAAGGTGATGGAAATAAGCAGGGAGGGAGAATAACGGATAAAATTGGGTACCAAGGGGCAGGGAGAGCGCTTTGCTCAGCTGCGTTCGGCAGAGCGGTGCCTCGCGCAGGGACCGGCTTCCAGCGGGAGCCGTCGCACGGGAGGGGGAGCTCCAAATCCTGCCCCAAAAACACGTTTCCAATAGGATCCTGTTGAAACCTGCCAGAAAATCAGCCGGGGTCTGCACGTTTTGGGAACTGTGCGAAACATGTAGCGTGTGCGGGTGGGTTATGAGCGCTGCCGGCGCGCGCCCGAGAGAAGGTCAGCCGGCCTCTTAAAAGCGGCGAGGAAAGGCGAGAGCCGATGCACTTGCTTTCCATACGTCGTGCACAAAGGGAGATCTGCCCTCGCCTCCCCGGCTCAGCTTTTGCATCTGCTGCTCATCCCCGGCAGGCACAGCAGAGCGTGAGCCGGACCCATGCACCCGCGGGCCCCGGGCGCTGAGCAGCGAGCTCGGCACGGCCCTTCTGGGGCATTTAAATACATCACTTAGAAAATGAGCACATCTGCTAGCAACGATGCTCAGAAACGGGGGGCTGTGAGACGTGCTCCAGCCAGTGTGCCCAAAGCACGGCCGAAACCCTGCACCTGCCCAGGGCCAGTGCTTGCGCAGAGCAGCTTTTGGGGTCTGTTCGGGTAAACTGAGGCCCAGCAGGGTGCAGAGGGCAGAGAGCTCCCCGGCGGCCTCCCGGCGGAGCTAGTCCCTGGCCCGGTGAGCACCAGGCCCAAAACGCGTCTCAGCTCCCGCGGAGCTGGTGAAGCTGCTGGAAATTCGCCTGGCCACCGCAGCTCTTGGTTCACGCTTTGTGGCTTTCCTAGTCGGAGCTTTGTTTGCTTTTATTTGTTTTGCCCAAAAATGTTTGTAAAAAGCTCTGGAAAAGTAAATGGTCCTGTAGTTGCTGGGTCGGGTCCAGCGCGGCACGAGCCGAGGTCGGCGCTCGCTGCCGCAGGGCTTCACTGCCAGCGCCCTGCCTGGCACGAGCCGCACAGCGGCGTGTCCAGACGTCCTGTCCCGTCCCGTCCTGCCCTGTGTCCCATCCTGTCCTGCCCTGTGTCCCGTTCCATCCCATCCCATCCCATCCTATCCTGTCCCCTCCTGCCCTGTGTCTCATCCAATCCCATCCCGTCCCATCCCGTCCTGTCCTGTGTCCCATCCCGTCCCATCCCCTCCTGCTCTGTGTCCCATCCCATCTCGTCCCATCCCCTCCTGATTTGTGTCCCATCCTGTCCCATCCTGTCCCCTCCTGTCCTGAGTCCCATCCTATCCCATCCTGCCCCCTCCTGCCTTGTGTCCCATCCCATCCCATCCCATCCCATCCCCTCCTGCCCTGTGTCCCATCCCATCCCGTCCCCTCTGCTGGCAGTAGCTCACCCCACCGGCCCTGGCAGGGCAGAGCGCCCTGGGCACTGCCTGGTTGCAAATTGCTACCATGGATGGAGAGAACGTGTCCAATGTCCGAAACTTGTTTTCATTTCTAACTATGTACTCCAGACCAGACTTTTACCCCCACAAATGCGAGAGGCTGTCAAAAGCAAAAGAATTATTCCTCCCCTCCACCTTTTTGTCCTGGAAGTTAGGAAAAAAAGTCATTTGGCCGCTCACTTCCGTC